CAGACATATTAATTTATCTCACAAATGTCATATATTGGTTCTACATATATTCTAGAATGTGCATTGATTTTTCCAAATTGATAATTTTCACAATGGATGGTGGCTGAGAGCCAGTTGCCAACTAAGCTATCACTCTGAGATATTATGAATCTATTGTAAATTCTAATCTTGTTTAATACGCTCTGTGGGGAATTTTTCATTTCAGAACACTTGAGTCCTCAATTACAAATGTAGTATAATATCATACAAATACTCAAGCTTATTTTCAATCAGGTAAATCATTTTAAGCAGCAACATAGAGTAGTAATTCGGAAGTTGACAGGCCAAGTCTCAAATTCTGACTCAATCAGCTGTTTCTGTGACGGTGAGCTGTTTTTTAAGTCCTGTTATTTTAAGTTATTTAACATTTCTAAGCCTTAATTTCCTCATCAGTTAAATGAGAATAACAATAAAATGTGCTTTAGGGAAGAATTAAATAAGATAATCCCTATAAAGACACTTAGTATAATGAACTTTAATGATTATCATCACGAATATTATTTGAGAATTTTAATTTTAGAAAGCAAAACAGCATTTTAAAACAATTTTAATTTGTACCAGAAAAATAACAAAAAGTAGGTATTTTTTCATTTTAACAATTATAATGATATGCAAGTACAGTATTAATAATTCTTATTCTTTTATTCATTTAAAAATTGCTTACTGAGTTCCTGCTACGTGCTAGGCACATTTCTAGCCCTCAGGAATATAGCTTCACACAGTATGGACAAAGTCCTTGCTCCTCTCGGAGCAAAGCAGAGTAAAGAGCTGGAGCTTGGTGAGGGAAAAAGAAGGTGCTTTACATGGGGACATCAGGAAAATCCTTTTTGATGAGGTAGTAATTGAGCAGATATCTGAATACTAAGTGAAATGAACAACCAATAAAATTGTCAATCTTCATTGAGTCTTCAATAATGTAGCATATTTAGGAGATGTATATTCTTGTTTTGAAGGAATGCTTTTGTATTAATTTACTAGTTGTTATTTTTTAACTAAAGGTTTAGAAACTACTTTGACAGACTAGAAGTCTCATCATATCTTACACAGCAATATCTTGCTCCTGAAATGAAAAAGAGGTTATCAGAGATAGATATAGAGGAGGGTACCATTTTTAATTATACACTAATGAAGAGAGAAAAAGGAGATAAAAATGGGAAAAGAAGAAAGACTTGCTTTAGCCTTCTGCTTCTGTTATAGTTTAGCCCAATTCTACCCCATAGTGGCTGACCCCATATGGTGATTTCTGCCAAATTAAAGAGTCATGTGATAGGGTCTTTCATAGGTTTTATGGGTTAACACTGTGCTAAATCCCCTACATGTAACAACAAAAGGATTTGATCATTTGCTTTCAGAAGTTCTCTGACCTAATAATGATGGCTGACCCTAAACAATGCGAAGCAAAGACATGCATTTATGGAAGGATGTTTCTGCTGCCAGGGATGCTTATCTTCTCTCATCTGTTTACATCTCTGTCCAGTTAGGCAGCAGTGGGAATTGAATTTTAAGGCCAGGGTTTGTAAGGGGTGGTAAAAAATTGTCTAGTATTATTTTTCTAGTTCTATGATATAAAATAAGTCACTTAACCTCTCCAGTACTGATTTATCTAATATAAAAATTAGGTTGTTTAAATAGAGCCTTAGAAACTATCTCTAATATTGTCTGATCAGAATTCTGATCTTAGCTAAGAATCATTATGGAGTATGTGGGAAAATGCTTGTTTTCATGTGTATTATTTTAAATGGAGGTAGAGATATGGGAAAAATCTTAAGTGTAAATGCCAAAGTTCAGAGTATTAAATAAACTTGATTTTTTATTTTTGGCACAGGAAAAACAATCTCTTGATTATCTTTGTGAGAAGAATCTTAAAGTTGGAATTGGCACTAATTTGGCGAGTGTGCTCAAATTATTTCTTAACTGTAATGAAATTTTGAGAAGTTTTATAAATTTTTTGTATGCACACACACACACAGTCTTGGCTGATCTGAAAAAAGAAGTGACACAAGAAAGTGAACGTATTCTGATAGACTCCTGAAAAAACCCCAGGAATTTCAGTTCTGACTCAGGGATTGTAATACAGGACCATTCACTAAATAAATGTCATGTGATTATGATCAGTCTGCCAAGCCTTTATTCTCTAATTTATTAAATATAGTTTTAAAATTCTGATTAGCCTTTAAAATGTATTTTTTAAATAGCTAATTTTTTCAGCTAAGCTAAGAATTATTTTTCCATACCCTTTTACATGTATTAGTATATTTAATGCTCACGTAAACCCTTTGAAGTAGAATACCATTGTTATCGTCATTTTACAGATGAGGAAACTGAGGCACAGTGATTGTACCCAAGGTCACACAGAGAAGGGAGCTCCTCTGGGCTTTAACTCCAAGAGTTCACCCTCTTAACTGCTCTGCTGTCGGTATTGCCCATAGTACCAATTTAAAATATGATGTAATTTAATCTCTGATGAATGGCTGATAATAACTTTATCTTAAATATGCTAAGTGAGCATGTTGCTAGAAGGGGCTACTTTCAGTTATTGATCGAAAAGACTTTTTTGGTTTGTTTCTGGTGCGTGGAAATAAGATGGAGTCTGAGCATATGGAAGCAGAATACTTAGATTTAGCCAACTGTTTTGAAAGAGAATACTAGGAAACGGTTTGACACAGTGCCAAATCTAAAACAAACTTTTTTTTACCCTTTTCCTAGAAAGACTGGACTGTAATGAATCCTTAATTTGTACTAAACTGTGAGTTTATTTTATTTTAGTGTTTAACATGCTGCAGTCTTGCAGACAGGGGCCATTTTCCCCTGAATCTGTCTGCACATTTATCAGCTGATCTTTTCCCCAGGAGGGAGATGAATGGCTCTTCTTTTAATAATTTCTTAGCATCAGTTATAATTCACTTTAATCAATGGCTGAATGCTTATTCACAAACATTTGTGTGCATAGATCTGCTGAATTATGTCAGATTGGTAAAGGTTTCTTAGTTGAATTCCAAAAGTCCTTTGTTTTTTGAAGACTACACAGAATTAATGGAGAACTGACTGTAAGAGTAGACATTTTGCTGAACTCCTCTTTCCAGAAAAAGTTTCCGCCAAATCCTTAATTTCCACATAATGTGCACACATTAATAGAAGAGCTTTCTTGCTAAGTCTTTCTTCTGTAGGCAGTTATTTTCCTATCAGTGAATTAGTGGACTGGGGGGACCGGGTAAACGTCAGTGTAGGGTTGCTAGTGGCAGATTAATTAGGTTCCTTTGTAAGTGATTCTAGCATGGGATCGGTATTTTCTGTAAATGTAAATTTGCTATTAATCTCTTCTGAAGATTATCTATTCTGTCATCCAGCTATTCTAATTATAGGTCCTTCTGGTTGTGGCCTGTGGGACGCCGCCTTAGCATGGCTTGATGAGCGATGCCATGTTGGTGCCCAGGATCCAAACCGGCAGAACCCTGGACTGCCAGAATGGAGCCCAGGAACTTACCCAGTCAGTCTCAGGGGCCGGCCCCGAGTACAGTTTTGATTTAGAATGCTAACATTAGGAGAAAATGCTTTTTGGTTCACCCCGAGCAATAATAAGGTGTCTTATGTGCTAAGCACTTGCCTTCCCTGCTGGGCATGTGGTTGGGGGTAGGCCCTGGAGGGAGAAAGACTGAAGCTGGCTTGATCTCTCACTCATGGTTACTTTGTCATTTCTGTAGTAAATTGTGTAGCATACAATTAGAATGTGCTGTGTTTGTGACACCAGTGGTGGCAAATTCTCTTTTCATTTGTGCTATGATTATCCTTTCTTGGTAGAGGATTCATTACTGTTCTCTAAAATCTGGAGTACATGGGCCATGTCTCATGAACTGTGATTCAAACAACACTAGATGCTGAAGGTGTTGATGGGTTTTAAATAGGAAAAAAGAGGTCTCTAGTCAAAATGTGGGTAATACCTGGTTAAAGTATGTTCAACAGTCATCTTTACTGTAACGCTTCTCAGAGCTATTGATGTGCTAATAATGTGCACTATGAATCTCTAAGAGGAGGATATAGCATCTGGTCTTTGATTAATGATCCCCCTCCTCTCTTTTTTTAACCAAAGAGAAAGTCACTGGGCAGGAAACACTTTGAGAAATGGTCTTAAAGACTGAGATTTCTCAACCTTAGTCCTGTTTTTTTTTGGGGGGGGGGGGATTAGTCCTGAGCTAACATCTGCTGCCAATCCTCCTCTTTTTGCTGAGGAAGACTGGCCCTGAGCTAACATCTGTGCCCATCTTCCTCTACTTTATATGTGGGACACCTGCCACAGCATGGCTTGCCAAGTGGTCCCATGTCCGCACCCGGGATCTGAACCAGCGAACCCCGTGCTGCTGAAGTGGAACATGCGAACTTAACCGCGGTACCACCAGGCCAGCCCAACCTTAGTCCGTCCTATTGACATTTGAGGCCAGGCATTCCTTTGTCGTGGGGTCTGTCCTGTGCATTGTGGGATGTTTATCAGCGTTCCTTGGCTCAACCTACTAGATGCCGATAGCATGCCCCCGTCAGCTGTGAGAGTCACAAATGTCTGCAGACATTGCCACATGTCCTCCAGGGGTCAAAATCTAGTGGAGAACCACTGCCCTAGATAATATTGCAATATTCCAGGGAGTTTTTGGGTCTGTTAACAATTTCTCTCTGAAATTTTCCTTTTAATGGGGAAGGAACAATAATCTAGAAAGTGGCAGCACAAGTAAAGAAGCTTCAGTATGATCTACTGTAATAAACTTTCTGCATCCACTTTATACCCTGGCCAGTTTTCTAATAATCTTTATGTGGAGAACTTACTGCAAAAAATAATTTCAAACTTTGCAGAATATTATATGGGAAAGACAAAAAATATATTTTTTATTGAAAAAGTATCCCAGATATTTAAGTTGATCTGCATGTGAGAATATTGCATATTTCTAAAACCTATTTTTTCCTTTTTTATGCAGGGCTATTTTCTTCTTTTCGAGTCTATGTTAGATTCTGTCCTTTACGCAAAGAACAAATACTTGGCAAAAGGAGGATCGGGTGAGTGTAAAATTCTAGTTTTAATAATCTAATTTTAGTCTGGCAGAACTGAATGAACCTTTGGATTTCAAATAAACTATGCATGACTGAGAAAGTTCCCAATAGAGATGAAAGATGTTTCCATTAGAGGAAGCTTAAAGACATTGGTTTGCTACACTGTTGATAGTAGAACGTTATATAAGATAGTCAGGACTCCAAGTTAATGGTATTCTCAAGAACACTTTCTATAAAAATACTAAGGACTAAGTTTGGAAGCTATTTGATATTCAAATAGAAATCTAATGGAAACTTCTTTTGATTTTTAATCCTTATGACCTTAGTTCTTTTCTTTCCAGTAGAATATTTCATACTAGGCTGGAGATTATTCACTCTAATGGCAAATTTTCCGTGACTTCACTAAATATATAAACCTGGCCTCTCTGTTTTAATGAGAACATTTATGACTGATTTCTACTAAGTTTTTAAAGTGCAACCCAATAGGTATTTTTAAATGGATCCCAACAAATTTGGAAGGCTTCTTTTCACGTCCCTGGTAAATTTTTAATTGTGTTAACTCTGCATGCTCAGTAAGGTTGTGTTTTTACAGGCCTTCTGCTGTGAGCAGTTACATACAAACACAACGTTCTCCCGCAGGGCAGGGGTTATGTTTTGCTCGTCTTTGACTCTTCAGAGCTCCAGACACCTGGAACATAGATAGAGAATCGTTAAAACCAAATCGAATAGCATGTGTCTCCCTTTGCTCCCCTCTCCCTGGCCAGCCCTTTTTCAAGTTTCAAGTTCAGCAAATGGTTCCCATGGTCAGAGTACAGCTGACAAAACTGTCATATGGAGGTGGACGAGGAGGAGGAGACATTTTGAACTAGTGACATAAAGCATTTGACCACGCTTAAACCTCCTGCCCATCCGTGTTCTATGAAATTACTTTGGCAGTTACAGTACAATAAAAACCAGTGAGGCCAAAACACAAAGCACAGGAAATTCTCCAGTATAATATAATAGCATTTAACGATTGCCTTTCTTTTTCAAAATGCTCTCATTTTATGACTATATTTTCTGCAGCCATTTCAAGATATGTTCCTGATCTCTGACGTGAACCTGACTAGAATTTTTAGATGTGTTTTACCTTGCAAAGATTGATTATATCTTTCTATAATTGTAGCGGCTTTTTAAAAAAATGACTACTATACTTAATGACTGAAAACTAATATTATCTACCATTTGTTGAGTGTCTGCCAGCTGCCAAATAATATACTCTGCTTTTATGTTATTACATGTGATTCTCACAACAGCCCTTTGAGATTTTAGAAAAAAGGTGTCCTGGAAGACACACATTAAGTGGCCAAACCTTGCTTTTTCTTCTTTTGTTTTTAACTGAGATCTACTGGATTCCAATATTCCTGTTCTTTTCACTCTCCTGTGTTCTTTCCCTACTAAAGTGCACTTCATTGAATCTGATTCTTGCCTTGAAGTTGTTCTCGGGAAGAATCAGAGAACGGTTTCCGTACCTCCCTGAGTGCTGTTCATTGATCTTACTGAAGGACTGACGGCAGCTTAATACATTTAAATTGAATTCTCGATGAAATTCATTAAGAACCTACAGCATGCAAATAATGAGGTTATAGTTGATGAAGCAGTGCCGGGGCTGTTTCCCATCATAAGAGGGACAAAGTGGAGGCTCCTGAGTCTAGTTCTTTCCATGTTTTTGTGTAGCTGACATCAGCACTAAGATAATCATGTTGAAGAGAGGTCAGCATTTGACCGCCTGAGCAGTGCTGTGGAGTGTTATTTGTTAACAGAATCAAGCAAAAAGAAGGAAAAGGCAGAAGTGAGTAACATGAAGTGGTTTAGCCTGGTTTGCGTATGTGAGTTTGTCTAAGTGAGTATCTCCAGTCATGTAGGTGCTTGTTCGTCTTTGCAAAGGTTTCCTTTGTATTTTTCTGAAGGAAGGATTTACTAAGCAATTAGTAGTGTAAAGATTTTAGTAAGAATGATTGAATTATGAGAGAGGGAGAATATTGAAGACCCATATAAGCATGAAGGGACCATGATTTATTTTCGTATGAATTTAGATTATGTCTCACTACCTGTTAATAGCATGGAGTAAAACCTTTATAAAGCACGGTCAGCCAATAACTTGAGAATTCGTTCTCCTTGTTATCACGGAGCAATTCCACAGTACTCTAGAGGTATTCACTTACTACTATTACTAGTGAGAAAAATAATCCTGTAAAGTCAGTGAAAGTGGGTTTACTAAAGACTACTTCTACTATTTTTAGCTGAGATTTACTAACCATGAATTGTAGTGTTTTACGTTCACCCAACCAAGAGATAAGGAGGAAAACTAGGAACATGTTCAACCGTGACCAATGCTTATTTTTACAACTAGAATTAAGAAGAAAACAAATGCATGTTTTAGGGTGACAATGTAGAATGTACATTTTTTATACCCTAACAATGTCAAATACTACATCTTAGAAAAATTGGAAAGAGAGTGCAGACTGCAGGTGGCAGGAAGTATGTGTACTTCAACTGCTTTATCTTTAACAGCAGGAATTTATGAAATATCGTTTAAAACTGACATATCAACCAATAGGATTATAAGCATGTTTAATACTAAAAGGTGATATTAGAGTGAACTACTGATTAAAATTGAGTGATGAGGCTTGTTGTGATAGATCCTGTCTATATCTTGATTGTGGTGGTGACTACATGACTGTATTTATCAAGTCATTTAGAATTATACACAAAAAAGAGTGAGCTTTACTGCATGTAAATTAGACCTCAAAAAAAATGACTTTTAAAGAAAAGTGAAGTGGAGCTGGCCCTGTGGTGTGGTTAAGTTCGCACACTCTGCTTCAGCAGCCTGACTTTGCTGGTTTGGATCCTGGGCACAGACCTACACCACTCACAAGCCAGGCTGTGGCAGTGACCCACATATAAAGTAGAGGAAGATGGGCATGGATGTTTGCTCAGGGCCAGTCTTCCTCAGCAAAAAGAGGAGGATTGGCAGCAGATGTTAGCTCAGGGCTAATCTTCCTCAAAAAAAAGAAAGAAGAAGAAAAGAAAATTGGACAGAGTTGAATGACAGCTCACAGAAAAGGAAACACAGATGACTCTTAAACACATGCTCAGTCTCTGACATGTTAAGAAAAATGTCCAATCTAAGAAATCTTTGCCTTACTCAGGATCACACAGAATTTTCCTATGTTTTCTTCTTGAAGTTTTAGCTTTTACATTCAGGTCTGTGATTCATTTCAGCTTAGTTTTTGTGTATAGTGTGAGGTAAGATGTTAATATTTTCCAGCATCCTTTGTTGAAATGACTATTCTTTCCCATGAATTGCTTGGCGTCTTTGTTGGAAATCAGTTGACCATATACGTGTGGATCTGTATCTGTATTCTGTTTATTTGATCTGTAAGTTTATCCTTTTGCCAATACTATACTGTTCTAGTTACTCCACTTTATGCTAAGTCTTGATATGAGGTAAAGAAAGACCTCCAACTTTGTTGTTTTTAAAAATTGCTTTGGCGGTTTGGTCATTTCTGTGTTTGTGTGTATGTGTCGTTTTTAAAAATAGGGTTTAGAATCTTATCAATTTTAGAATCTATCAATGTATCAATTTAAAAAAGACTGCTTGAATTATGATGGGATTGGTTTTGAATGAATGGATCAATTTTCAGATAATCAGCATCTTATCAATATTGAGTCTTCTAGTCCATGGACGCAGTATATCTTTGCATTTTTTTAAGTCGTCTTTAATTTATCTTGGCATTATTTTATATTTTATTTTTTATAATTCTCACAAGTGGAAATTTTTAAATTTCATTTTTTAGTTGGCTTTTGGTAATATAAAAATACAGTTGGTTTTTGTTTATTACCCTTGTATCTTGTGATCTTGCTAAGTCTGTTAGTTCTAGCAGTAGTCTTATAAATTCTTCGGGCTTTCCTGTGGGAACAATCATGTCATCTGCAAATAGAGACAAGTTTACTTCTGCCATTCCATACCTTCTACTTTTAATTGTTTTTTTTTTTTTTTGCCTATAACTCTTTGAATAAAATAGGAAAGAGTAAGTCCATTGAGAGAGAAATAAATAAATAAATAGTCTGAAAGTTTGATTAAGAATAGGATATGTACCTAGTTTCAAAGAACCTCCCACAAAATATCTATTCATTACAAAAGGGAAAAGAGTAAATTTCAGTCTCCAAACCTAGCAGACTCCACCTTAATCAAGTAATCAGGGTTGACATCCTTAGGAATGTGACAAATTCAAATTGTGGTCTGATAGGAGCACATAGAAATAATTCATTTTCTTTGAAGCTTCCTCAAAACTGGTAATAGTTTTATAAAATCATAATTGTTGCATAGAAAGTTTAAGGGCCCATTAAAGAAGACATCATCTTCCATGTTACTGGAAAAGAATATTGTTTTCATTGCCTTTCATTACAGGAAAAATGTCGTCCCCCCCCCCCCCCCCCCGTGACATGGTCAGAATTAGGCTCGAATGTCTTATGGGGTCTTTCAGAATAGATGTCATGTTTGAGTTGTAGTTGTCAAGATTATAAAGTTGAGGACTGGATCCAGTACGACACAGAATTGCTAAGGCAGCCGTTTCCTAATCTTTGTTTCTTAATCTGGACAGACCATCACAATCACTGGGGCCTTTCGTTAAAAATGGATGTTCAGGCCCCCATCAGACCCTTTTGAACCAAAAACTAGGGGAAGAGCCCTGTTCTTCATAATTAAAATGTATGTTTCCCTTTGTATCAATGAGGGTTTTTCTTGGAAGAAATAGAAGTCTACCCTGGCCATTAAACAGAGAAGGCATTTGTTAAAAGGATGGAATAGGTTACAGAGTTTCTGTGAGAACGAGAAAACCAGGCTGGAAGGTTATGCAGCCAGGAACAGTGCTTGAAATTACCTTCTAGGACGTGTCTAGGAGTGATACCACTACCCTGATGCTGGGCACTGGCTGATATCAATTATGGTGCTGGTCTCACCA